CTGAGTTAGCTCCCCAGCCCACCAGCCTTTCCTAGGACACTGAAACTTTGAGGCTTCAACACTCCTTCTTGCTCCTGTTTTGTCACCCTCTTATTTAGTTACAAGGCGGTGGCAGAACATATCAGTGCTTAACCCACTGCCGAGCACAGGTACATACCACGGCACACGAGTCCCCAGGCCAGGAGGGCTGGTGCCTTTTTCTGCTTCATTAGGACCAGGATTACACAAGATTCAGATTCTTTTCTGGAAGAGAATCGATTACAGCTTGCCCTCCCTGTGAGTGGTATGCCCGTAGACTTCTCTGGAGCCACTGTGGAGTGCGGTGGCCTCATTATCCATTTGGGCAGGGGGCAGGGTTGAGGGGGGAGATAAACTCGCAAAGAGGCTATAGATAATGAGTTAAAATGGTCATTATCTTAGCTACTTTTTTCTAGTTGCTGAGACACCCAAAGTTAAAGAGGGAAAGATTTACTTAGTCCACAGTTTATGGAAGTTTCAGCCCATAGTGGCTCCCATGTGAGGCAGCAAATGGCAGAGGAGCAGCCATTCATAGTGCAGAAGGGAGCAAGCAAGGAGGCAGACTAGCCTCTTTCTGCCCCTTTTATCTTATGCACATTGCTAGGATTAGGGCAGTGCCACTCCAGGCATTGAACTGATCCAGCAGTCACCCACCTTGAATCCCATGAATTGTACTGAACCGTGAATAAAACACAAACTCCAGATTTGATCAGCTCAAAAAAAAAAAAAAAGAAAGAAAGAAAGAAAGAAAGAAAGAAAGAAAGAAAGAAAGAAAGAAAGAAAGAAAGAAAGAAAGAAAGAAAGAAACCCTCTAAAACTACATGAGGCTTTAGTAGGGAGGCACCTAGACACAAATCATAAGAGTCATCAAGTGACCCTTTATGCTGGGTATAGTGGTGCACATATATAATCTCTGTCTGGGAGGCTAAGGAAGGAGGATCATAAATTGAGCCCAGCGTAGCCCAATCTAGCCAACTTAGTGACTCAATAATACCTTTTCTCAAAAGAAAACAGAAAGAGCTGGGTATATAGCTCAGGAAAAGGCCCTGGGCTCAAGCCTTTGACTACAGAATAATAGTCATAATAGCAACAATAACAGTGATACTGCTTCATGTGAAATTCATGAAGTAAGTTATAAAAACTTTGTTGTATATGAGGTGCTGGGGTTGAACATAGGCCCTGGAGCTCACGAGCTGCACGCTGCTCCACAGAGCCCTGCTCCCCCAGCCGCTGTCTCATTCTCTCTCTTTTTTTTTGTACCAGTGATCTGTTAGGTTTTTCTGTGGTGCAGTAAGAAGAAAGATAGAAGAAGCCTTTATTAACTCTAAGGACACAGAGAGAATCCAAGGGAAGAGGGGGGCAGAATCCTCTGACCTGAGACAAGGAAAGCTGAGCCTTTTCTGACCTTTTGCTAGGGTGGAGTTAGAGGGTTTGTTTCAGTGACAAGTAAGGAGCTGATTGGGGTCTCTCCTGTGTGCGAGGGAAAGGTGAGAGGAAACTGTACCCAGGCCTGGGTTGGGGGAGAAGGAGGAAGTGGTCATTGGGAAGATAAGCTGTTGCTTTTGTGCTTCAGCTATGTGAGATGACCACCATAATAATTTAGCAGTTTATATTGGGGCCAGAACCTATCGGGATCAAACTCAGGACCTCACACCTTCCAGGCAGGCACTGCTGACAGACACAGAGCTGTCCCCCAGCCTCTTCTCTTGAGTTGCCTTTTAGGAGCTATTCTAAATGGACACTGTTCTGAAATCACTGCATGCAGAATTCACAGGCAGTGGCTGTGGTTTGCCTCAAAGAGGCAGGCATTGGGGAGGGGTAGGACTGCCCTGGGGCTGTCACACAAGGCTGCATGGAGTGCTGAGCAGGAGGTCACCGGAGTGTCAGCACAGCAGGTCCGCAGCCCATCTCCAGTGACAGGAGGGTGACAGTGAAGAAGAGCAGAAGCTGCAGAGGAGGCTGGGAGTGGGGGCCCTCCAGTCCTCTGTGCTGCATTGTGGCTCCACTGTCTGCACTGTACAGCTGCTGTCACCTAAGTGGTGGTGACATCTTGCTGCTGGTGAAAAGGTACCTCTGGGGCCTTACGGTTCTTGCTGAATTGTTAATTCTAAGATACTTTGGCCAGGGAAGGCCAAGAGCCAGTTCTAAAAGAAGCAGAAGGCTCTGTCTGAGTCCTGTCTCAGAGGGAAATGCAGGTAACATGCACAGGAGGTATGTAAGCATCCGCTTAGCTGCTTGGAGAGCTGCCTGTTTGGTCCTCTTGGTGTGGAAGTTCCGGGGTGTACTTCTTCAAAGAGCACTCAGTGCTTTCCAGGCCACTTGAGTTCCCTGGATCCTACCACACCCCTGGTGGATAAATGTGGCCTGCTGAGGAGAGGTATCACATGGCGAGCTGTGTAGCACAGAGACCGGTCCTGACTGGGGGTGTCCAATGTGTCGTGCACCCAGAGACTCTAAGAGCCTTGAGATCTGATGCACAGAGCTGAGAATGGGGCTTTGGGTGCCTGGGTGCAGGAAGAGCTGTTCTCGCTGCATGGTTGCAGGGGCTTTGCTGGCCTAGCTCTTACTGGGGATTCTGGAAAGGTAGTGTCCATCCTGATGTGCTGGATGGAGTAATCCTCCATACCAGAAACTAGAAAGACACAGCAGTGACCGTCCAGTGGTCACAGTTCTCTGCCCTTCCTAGGGCTGCTGCCTCCCACCCGTTGAGCACTCACTGCTGCCTGCGAGCTCTGACAGAAGCAACCATCAACAGTTAACAAACACAGAAGTTACTCAAGTGACCAGTCGGAGAGCATCCAGTTTGCTGTAAATTACACACTCCTTTGTATTTTCCAGGAGGACATGGGTTTCTTGTTCTAATTATAACACATGGGAAAATCAGGCCATCTGACCTGCGGAGATGTTTGTATTTGGAGTACTGCAGGAGTGAGTCTTTGTCTACACACACGTCTGAGTGTGTACATAGATACATGAAGGTTGTGATGTGTGTTTCTGCATGTTGCATAGATGTAATACATGTGTACTAAGTGATACTAGGGGCCAGCATCTAAGACCATAGGATGCAGATATGCAAGACAGGGCTGCCTGCTAGGACAGGGCATGTGGGACACCGCCTTTCTCTGTGTACCCTGAGGAGTGAGAGAGGCATCACAGGGCTTGCTCTCGCCTATTTCTGTGTGTACTTGTGCCCAGCCCTTCTATACTATCCAGACCCTGTCCGTGAACTAACAAATGCAGAGGTTCATTGACCCTGGCACTCTTTCAGCACTTTCCCTTTGAGTCTGCCCCTGAGGCCCATGGCTTGAGCATGGGCCTGTCAGTCTCCCCGCCCCCTTCCTCCTGTTCTTACTGGGCTGGGCTGTCTTCCCTGTCATCAAGCCTGAAGCCATTTTCAGCCCAAGCACTTTCCCTGAGAGGAGGCTGGAAGCCAGGACTGGCTGTCCGTCTCTGCAGGCCTTTAACACAACAGCCTTGGAACATCAGTGCTGCTGGTGCATGGATGGTCCTTGGGTATAGGTAGGCATGGCTCCCAGTAGAGAAAAGAGGTCCCCTGCCACCCTCCCTGCTGCCTGGGTACCTCAATGACAGTGAGCAAGGGACCACAGCAGCTTCTGGATCATCCTGCTGAGAGTACATGGGCCAAACTGGAAGGTGGACAGAGACAGCAGCGGGAAGCAGGATTCTCCCTGCTGACTGCACAGTGGTCAGCAAAGGGCAGATTGCCTCCCAAACTATCTCTGCACTCTGGCACCTCATGGAACCCAGGGACACCCCTCCACAGAGCTGCTCTGATTTTCTATGTCAAGGTATGTCATTTACAATCTCTTACGACATCTTGGGGCCTGACCTGCTTTCCACAAGCCCCAGCCCCATGAAAAGCCCGTTGCCTGTTGGTGTTCTGCATACTTTGTACTCACCTCCTCGGACTGGAGAGCCACCTGGCTCAGGTCAGAGTCCCCAGGGCCCTGCTGCCGTGTTGCTCTAGGTTGCAAGGCCACCTGCTGGCCAGCACCTCCAGCATAGCTCTCCCCTTTCCTACTGCCCTAAAGCCATAGCTCCAGGGGCTCTGCCCAATCTGCTCAACACCTGTGACCCCCTTGCAGCTCTACACAGGCTCTCCTATCTCTGGAGACCCCAGACTCCACTTGAGCATCTTAGGGCCACCTCCCTGGTCAGAGCCATAGTTTGAACCTCCCAGGACCTTGGCTTTTGCTGCAGGGTTTCTGGAGTCTTGGCTTTGTTTCACTTTTGTCTTGAAATGCAAGACATCTCTGCTAGGCTCTCCAGGATATACAGTCCGGTCCCCTGGGCAACACTGCAGCCCCAAGGTCTGCTGGACCAAAGGCCCTTTGGTCACATCAGAGCTCTTTAGGCTGCCCACACTGCTAGGGACCGACACAGGAGTTGGCACAAAGCCGGTGAAGAGCCTAGTTAGGCTCACTAGCTGATCTGCTCAGATGGTCATGATCAGTGAGAGAAGAGCCCTCAGTATGTGGCCTGACCGAGGTTCAAATCCGGACTGCCTTGTTCCGGGTGCTCTCATGGCTGAGCAGATTGGCTGACCCTAGAGAGCCGCATCCACTCCTCCGTGAAGTAGCGACTGGAGCCCAGCCTTCTTAGGAATCAGAATCCAGGCCAGCCCCTTCCCAGTCACAGGGTCCTGTTTCCGCCCGGAATGCCTCGCTTGGGGAGGCTGCAGGGCACTCCCCAGTGACCCTGAAGCTTTCCAGCTCTGCTCACAACCTCCGAAGGGCTCTTTCTTGCGCCACAGCAGGACTTGCTCTGCTGCAGCTGCTTGTCCTCCCCGGTGCTCAGCTCTGCGGGGCGCCTGCAGGGCCCCGCTAGGTACTGCGCAGGCTCGGAGGGGCTGGGGCTGAGCCCTGCGGGAGGAGCCGCCCGCGCCCCGCCCCTCCCTGGCGCCGGGCCAAGCTAGCTCCTGGCCTGTGCTGCGGGCCTCGGGCTCCGAGCCGCGAGCCGGGCCATGGCTCGGGCCCCGCAGCCCCGGCGCGGCCCTGCGACGCCCGGGAGCGCCCTGCGCGCCGTGCTGCGCTGCAACCTGCCCCCTGGTGCCCAGCGCGCGGTGGTCTCCCTGGTGCTGCTGCTGCTCGTCCTCATCAATGTCGTGCTCATCTTCCTGCTGGCCTTCCGCTGAGCCAGCAGCCAGGGGGACCAAGCCGGGTGAGTGGACTGGTGCTCTGGCCGCCGACACCTGCGGTCCCTTGCCTCACGCGTGAGCAGGCCTCTGGTCACCAATTTAATCTGGGATGTCATTTGCAGTGCTTAGCGGGCATAGTGCACGCATACGGGGGTCCTTCAGTCTGTCCTCCATGCCATGGGGGAGGGGTGGCGCATTTGGTGTGTAACTGAGGATGCGGACTCCGCTGGACAGTGTGCCTGTGCCAGAGGGGAGAAGAAATGGAAATGCATCGGTGTGGGTTGAGGGAGGTCCGTGGAGGTGTCCGGGCGCCTCTGCAAGGGGAACCTGCAGCTCTTTCCCCTTTTCTGCCTCCTTGGGGCCACAGCCTGAACACACTCGCTACACAGCCTGCAGAGCCCAGCCCAGCATTCCCAGGCTGATGGAGTCAGCAGGCCCTGCATGTGAGGAAGGGAAGAGAAGGCCCAATGAGAAAGGGTGGCGGTGGGCTGTCACTTGTGAGGCAAGGTCTGGCAGCTTTGCTCTCCCCAGGGCTGGCCAGAGCAGGGGATGTGGGAAGGAATCTAAGCCCCTTCTTTACCTTGTCTTAAACTTGGTCCTCCCTCAGTTGCCCCATCTGCCTCCACATAAACACCCCAGGGCCCCAGGGCTAGCTTGTATTCCCCCCTCCTACCCCCCACCCCCAATCCCACCCCTATGCCCCACCCATCCTCCACCCAGCATTCCCCAAGCCCTGTGGGAGCTGGAATCCTTGCTCTCTGCTGTTGAGCTTGACTCCTGGCTCGAGGCGCAGCAGCACCCAAGCTAGAGCAGGAAGCACACCCAGCTGCTATGCAGATGGAGGCACCTCTGATGTCCTAGGAAAGGTGTTGCTGTCTCCTGAAGCACTGTCATTGAAGCACTGGGTAGACGTTGCTAGTATGGAGACGCTGCTGGGAAACATGGGGAGATCAAAGAAATTGCTTGTAGCCATGTGTCTTTCTGGTGTCTCCTGGGTCACATGTTTCTAGGATAAGGACACAGCAAAGGTGACAAGCCCCTTCTTCCGACCCTGCCTCAAGGGCTTCCAGGCCTCTGGGCAAGTCAGCCGGAGCCTGGTGCCTGTGAAGCCTCCTGCCCCATAGAGGGTGATGCTGCTCCTGATTAATACAAAGCAGGATCTGTCTAGCACAGGCCCCAGTGGTCAGTGCTGAGTGTGTGGGTGCCTTGCCCTAGATCTGGGACCTATGCTTACAGACCCCAGATCAGGCATGGTCCCTTGCATGCTCCCTCTGGCTTCTTACCCACACCCCTAGGAGGGCCTACTTACTTTCTCTGGAGCCACAGTCTTCAGGGCCTCACTTGGGGCCACGGTGCAGCAGGCACAGTGGGCTGGCTCCTCCCACGTGGTCTTGCTGGATCCAGACTCACCCACGGGTATGAGAGCCTGGCCCACCCACAGGAGGTCCTGACAGCCAGAAGCGAGGACAGAGGTACACGGGCTAGCAGCCACCATACCATCAGTGCACACATGCACACAAGAGTAGGTGCCACCCTCAAGAAAGAGCAAGTTCCAGCAACTGGGCCTCGCAAACTTGCTTGGAGAGCGCCCACCTCTTGCCCTGCCATGTGGGCACCAAAGCCCCTTAGGTAGCAGCTAGGACTGGGATGGAGGCCCGAGCAGTCTCGGCTGAGAGTGCAGCCCTGCTCTGAGTCCTCAAGTCGTGTGAGAATTAGCCTGTACACTGTCCAGGAGCACCGCGGAAACCAGAGGCCGAGGGCATACAAGGCACCGAGAGCACTGGTGGAGTGCCTGCCAGGTGACACCCACCCAGGTCATTCCTTCCCTGCTGTACCAGGCTCATGGCTGTGATGGGAGCATCAACTCAGGTCTCCTTGGGAGGAGTATCTGAAGCTCTAGCCCACTGCTTCTCTGTCCTGAAGCCTCTGGAGCAGACATGGAGCCCACATTGCAGGACAGCAGCTGTCAACACCATGCAAAACGGGTGCAAGGGCTGCCTGAAAGGGGTAGTGGGGAATCAGGCCTCAACTTGCCAGTGCGCTAAGAAGGGATGTTTATCAGTGATTCAAGTTGAGAAAAACTGGTACAGAGGTTTGTCAGATGGGGTCAAATGGTTCACTTAGTGACAAAGTACAGAGTGACGTTAGGTGTCCATTACAGTTAAGAACTGTAAGACTCACCTTCTTCTCTTTGAGCCTAAAAGCAGGGCTTGCAACCTAGAGTGCTGAGGATGGTGCTGCTGAGCTGATGTGGACATGTGGGTTACTGGGGGCAGGGCTGTCCTAAGGCTGGCTCTGCATGAGTTCAAAAAAATAAAACTCACAAATTACATCTGGCTGCTCCAGTAGCAAGGCATTGTCACATCTGTATGGAGCAGCACTGCCAACTCCTGGGTGGCCTCAGAGGCACTGAAACTCCATGAAGAGAAACCCATGGCAGGATGCTCCTGTCCTTCCCGGAGCTCTGCAGCCCCCTCCCTTGAGTGCTGCCTGAGAAGAGCAGCCTCAGCCCCAGTATCTCGGAGCAGCTAGCAGAAGTTGGGTGGAAGCTAAGAGGCTCCGTCTCAGCTTAGGAAGGTGTGGCCCACCACAAAGGGAGTGATTTGAGGGGAGTTGAGATTCTGGATCAGGTTCACCTCAGACACCATCACCACCTTAAACGATCTAGACATGCCCAGGACATGGCTCCACACCAGAGCAGTTGCTGCTGGAAGGACGTGTGTCAGTCTCTCTGTAGAGTATGTTGGGATCCCTTCTTCCCAGGACTATTGAGGGTGGGAATAGAGGGCAGAGAGGGCTTCAGCCTGGGCCCAGGGCATGACCCACCCACCATGGTTCTCTCCACAGCTGATCAGCGATGGCAGTGTGGTCTGTGCTGAAGCACTCTGGGACCATGTCACCATGGATGACCAGGAACTGGGCTTCAAAGCTGGAGATGTCATCGAAGTGATGGATGCCACCAACAGAGAGTGGTGGTGGGGCCGTGTCGCTGACGTCGAGGGGTGGTTTCCAGCCAGCTTTGTGAGGGTATGGTCCCAGGAGCAAGAAGAGCCCCCTGGGGAGATCCACACTCAAAAGAGCTCTGGAGTCCCAGGTTGTGGGTGGACTTCACCCTCTCCACAATGCTGGTGCCTTAGGCACTGCTTGGGTAGGGGTCAGAGAGCTGTGACAAAACTGTCTTCCTCCCCTAGAAATGCCAGCACCTCCTCTATCCCCTGATCCCACCTTCCTGGAGAGCCCTTGGGCAGGAGGGAACAGGTCAGGAGTGACTGTGGAGATTACATCCTGTGAAGGGAACAGGGTACATTACAGTACCATATACTGAAAAACTCACCTGCTGGATCATCTTGATTAACACCCACGTCCCCCCAGGTGGAACTCTGGAAAAGCTGAGGCATATACAAGCAGTCATTAAGCCAGCATTCACAGGGAAGGGACCCAGATCCCACCTACAGCACTCTGGTCTCCAAGGAAGGAATCTAGATGCAGTTTCCAAAAAGGCAAAGTGGAGCAGCTGACATTCAGCTGTTCCTGTCCTCATGCTCCTTGGGTAAATGTCCCTCAGCTCCCCAAGCCCTTTCCTGAATTTACAGCTTAGTAAGCCAGCAAGACCATGTCACCATACTCCTGCATCACAGCCTCTAGATGGCATAAGATGAGCAGGCTGTGGTTTGGAAATTCCTAGTGGGTGATCCAGGGACCATGCTGAATAGAAGCATCTACAGAAAGCAGGGGGACATGGGGCCTGTCAGGAGGCCAAGGTGGTCTCCAAACAGTGGAGTCACAAGGCACACTGCCACTGCCCACCATGTGCACGTTCACTTGATGCAGGTGCAGGAAGCACCTTCAGCGGCTATTCCCCCCGGTGGGAGGCCTGGCTGCACAGCGGTGTAGTGTGCAGGGCTGTGGAGTACTGACTGGCCCCATGTTACCCACAGCTGCGCGTGAACCAGGATGAGCCGGTGGAGGACACCGAGGCCCCACGGGCCAGCACCGGGGCAGTGGAAGGTGGTGGGATGGAGGTGCAGAGCAGCAGGGACCAGATGCGGACCAACGTCATCAACGAGATCCTCAGCACAGAGCGGGACTACATCAAGCACCTGCGTGACATCTGCGAGGTAAGGGGGGCCCTGCCCTAGTGGGGCGGATGCAGGAGCTCGAGCCTGATGCTCTGGCTGCCTGCAGGGTTACATCAGGCAGTGCCGCAAGCGTGCAGACATGTTCAGCGAGGAGCAGCTGCACACCATCTTCGGCAACATTGAGGACATCTACCGCTGCCAGAAAGTGTTTGTGAAGGCCCTGGAGCAGAGGTTCAACAGCGAGCGCCCGCACCTCAGTGAGCTGGGTGCCTGCTTCCTGGAGCACGTGAGCACTGGCTCCCCATAGACCTGCAGCCCCCTGCCATCTCCTGGCACCTGCTCACCCCAGCCCTGGTCATCTGGGAGCCCTTCCATGCTCCACCCCAGGCAACCTGCCTTTCCAGAAGCTTCCAAACATCTGGGTGTACCTCCTGCCTTCCCGGCTGCCCTCCGCACTCTCAGGAGGGTCTGTGCTGTGGGAACCAAGGCTGGGGAGGCTCCCAGCAGCAGAGGTCTTGATCAGTCTGGGAGCGAGCTACTCCTCTCCTGGAGTAGCCACCCCTATTGATGTCTTTGGTCCTTGACGGCCCTTTCTTACCAGCACTACTGTTCTTTTTTTTTTTAAATTGATATAATTAAAATATTTGCTAAGGGTCTTACTGATAAAAATTGGGAGCCACAGGGTGGGCACACACATCCTTGTGGGTTTTCCCATCTTTAAGTGACTTCACATAGCTGTGGCCCTGACCAAGTAGATACACAGAGCCTGGATCCCCAGCCCAGCTCCTAAAGGGGATCCAGAAGCCCTGGTTTCCCCAGATGGGTGGCCAGTTGTTTGGGAGACAGCTGTGCTACCCCAAAACTGTTCCCTCTGCTGCCCAGCAAGCGGACTTCCAGATCTACTCTGAATACTGCAACAACCACCCCAACGCCTGCGTGGAGCTCTCTCGGCTCACCAAGCTTAGCAAGTATGTGTACTTCTTCGAGGCCTGCCGGCTGCTGCAGAAGATGATTGACATCTCTCTGGATGGCTTCCTGCTGACGCCTGTGCAGAAGATCTGCAAGTACCCCCTGCAGCTGGCCGAGCTGCTCAAGTACACGCCGCCCCAGCACAGGTAGGAGAGGCTGGGTCCTGCAGCCCCACCCGCAGCGTTCTCTGTCCTGCTGTAGGCCGGGGGCTCACCTCGAGCTGCCACCATGACAGGGAGGAGGCCATCAGTAGGGCAGAACCCGCTCCAGGCCTGGCATTTCTGGAGAAGAGCAGAACTATGCTTTAGTGGTCAAGAGGCACAGGGTGGGCTTTAGGAGATACCTAAGTCCCTGCTCACCAGATGGCAGCACCCTCCCACTCTGTTCTGCCCAGGGACTTCAAGGATGTTGAAGCTGCCTTGCATGCCATGAAGAATGTGGCCCGGCTTATCAATGAGAGGAAACGGAGACTTGAAAACATCGACAAGATTGCTCAGTGGCAGAGCTCCATCGAGGACTGGGAGGTGAGGGCCCTGGAGCCCAGAGGATGCTGGGGGCCCTGGCTTGAGAGCTCTGCATGTCTCAGGGCCTGGGAGGGAGCAGAACAGGAGGCCAGGCTGCTGGACAGGAGCACAAACTCAGTGAAAAGCAGGTTCTTGTGTGCCCGTGTGGGAAATCTGGTGAGACCTCCCAGGCCAGATGCGGCACTGGTGGTCTGCCCTGTGTGAGACACGACTGTCTTCCCTACCAGCTGCCACCAGCCCAGGAGAGGCTCCCCAGGAGGAGGTTTCTCAGAAGCACTGTCTGTTCCTCTGCCCTCAGGGCACAAGCTGGGTCCCTCCCTGGGTCTCTCCAGTCAGCTTCTGGGACTCCCAACACCAAGGTTTATGCCCATCAGCACAGCCCAAGCTGGGCTGCCCCTGGTTCCACGTTTCTGGCTTGCACACTCGCCAGGTATCTCTCTAAGGCAATGCCAAAGCATAAACTTAACGATGGCATTCTTGCTTGAAGGGACACGGGGGCTCTTCCCTCCGTCATCTGCCGACACCCACATGGCACCTCTGCCAAGCACTGTACAAGCTGTCTCCAAGCTATCTGAAAATGAGTCATCCTCAGTCAGAGCACTAGAAAACAGTCCTAGGCACTACTCCTGACAGTGCACTGGCTTCCAGGGGTGGGACCTGGCAGTGCAGCCCACTGGTTTTGAGGCCCAGCCCAGGGTGAGGTCCCCTGTAAGCTCCATCACCTAAGACAGGATGGCGGCCAACAGCCCCAGGGGCAGAACTTGGTCTGAAAATGTGATGCTGTGAGGGTGGACATAAGGCCTTGAAGATTGGCTATACAGGTGAATTACAGCTTAATTCTTCTCTAGAGCAGCTATGTCCAATCAAAAGATCACATGAACAACACAAAGACTTCTGTATGTTTTAGTGCCATCTTTGGTATTTTGGGACAGGGTTTTGCTACACAGTTCTGGCTGATCCTAAACTATGTAGCCCAGGCTGGCCTTGAACTCATGGCAATACTCCTGCCTCAGCCTCTCTAGTGCTAGGATTACAGGTATGCACCACCACACCCAGCTCTGGTAGCCTTTCTTTTTTTTCCCACTCAGCCCACCATGAGGGCAGGGCTGGTGTGGTATGTGGTGTGGGGGAACTGAATTGTGGTCCCGTGTCAGTGCCTAAGTTTGCCTAAGCAGGTGCTTTAGATCGCTGAGCTATCTGGCCAGCCCTCTGGTAGCCGTTTTAACACAGAAGAAAAAAATAGGTGAAAATGATTGTAATAATATTTAATTCAATAATATAGCCAATTATTTCAGCTCTAGTCAGCATAAAATATGATTTAAGGGATGTTTTATATTGTTTCTCACTAAATCTTTTTTGGGTACTGGGGATGGAACTCAGGACCCTGCACTTGCCAGGCAGGTGCTTATTCCACTGAGCTATCTCCCCAGCACCTCTCACTAAATCTTTAGTGTGTATTTTACCCCAGCATCGTATCTCCATAGAGTGGGCACATTTCTGCTGTCCAAGAGCCATGGAGGCCACTGACCACAGGAGGCCCGCAAGCCAACCCAGGTCAAATCCATTCCCCTCTCCTCCCCCTCCACAGTCCCAAGCTCCAGGACCCAGAGGACTTCCAGGCCTCCAGATGCCCCTCCTACCTGGCTAGCTTGGGAGGTCACCTACAGGCAAGGCCTTCTCAGCAGGTCAGGGGCATTCAGCTCTGGCTTTCCTTGGGGTCCCTCAGGGGGAAGATCTCTTGGTGAGGAGCTCGGAACTCATCTACTCGGGGGAGCTGACTCGTGTTACACAGCCTCAAGCCAAGAGCCAGCAGAGAATGTTTTTCCTCTTTGACCACCAGCTTATCTACTGTAAGAAGGTACCAGCCACTGCCCTTCTGAGCCAGCCCCATGTAGAGCTGTATGGAGGGCCTCAAGCCGAGGCATAAAATAGCTTCGCACATGTGGAGCCTGCCAGGCCCTCTGCAGCCATTCCTGGGAGCCCTTCAGTCTGGGATGAGGTGAGGGTAGTTCTGTAAGGAGAGCCCATGACCATGGTGGCTCTCTTGTCTGGCCAAGGCCCTGTTGAGGACACCCTCATTCCTAAACTGTCTGCTGCCTGCTTCTCAAGCTTCTGCGTCCCCTGAAAACCTCCGCTTTCCTCTGCCAACCCTGAGGTCCTCTGCTGCAGCCATTTCCTGGTCTTTCTATAGCTTGTAGCTTCTGTTTCTCTTTCAAAACATGGTCCAGAGGATCCTATACAGGTGGCCCTCCTGTGTACCACGATCTTTTCTGCTGTGCCATGTGGGGTGCTGTCCTGGTCTCTGTGGTAGATCACACCTTTCAGAGAGAGCAGGCTCTGCAGGTTGGCTGCTGGCCATCCCAGGCTGCACCAAGGCCTACAGGCACCCACTACATGCTGTGGAGGTGGCTGGGCTGAGGGTGGAGATGGGTCTGGGGTGCGGCAGCCAGGGCTCAGGACGGCGTCTGGCAGGACCTGCTCCGCCGAGACATGCTGTACTACAAGGGCAGGCTGGACATGGATGGCTCAGAGGTGGTGGACCTAGAGGACGGGAAGGACCGAGACCTCCACATGAACATCAAGAATGCCTTCCGGTTACACTGCAGCACGTCAGGGGACAGCCACCTGCTGTGTGCCAGGAAGCCTGAGCAAAAGCAGCGCTGGCTCAAGGCCTTTGCCAGGGAAAGGGAGCAGGTGCGACTGGACCAGGAGACAGGTACAAGACCCTGCTGGGCCTTGCCCTACTTGGGCCCACTCAGTCCAGCTGCCAGTCATGTGAGCCCATCCTGAATTAATGAGAGCATGTCTCAGACCCAATGCCTCAAGCTTGGTGAGGCCCCACAGCAGTCAGCACAAGCATTGCCATTGTCAGGCACTGCCACCCTGTGCTCCCCCATCAGCTTTTGGCGCCACAGCACAGGCTCTGGGACACTCTACGCTGCTCAGAGTAGCCAGTTTCCAGGAAGCTCAGGCTCTGGGATGAGCGGGGAGGGGAACTGGCACCTCTTGCCTCATATGAGCAGGCCTTTCTCCCTGGTGCTGCCCCCTCCAGGTCACAGCTCTGGCATTCCATTCCACATAAGCAGTCAGTTTGTGCTGGGGAAGGCCTCTATAACAGCAGAGACACTAGATGCAGGAGGAGAAGGGGGCAGGGGCTGAGGGGAGATGAGGAACAGGGGTCTCAAAAAGCTTGTCTACCTTCCTGGTTGGCAGGGCAGACTGACAGCAGGCTGGAGGGAGGACAACAGGCCACAGAGCACAGCCTACAGAGGACAATATAGGACATGTGGACAGGGAAGGACAAAAGTCTCACGTGTGCCCTCTCCCCAGGTTTCTCCATCACCGAGCTGCAGAGGAAACAGGCCATGCTGAATGCCAGCAAACAGCAGGCCGCAGGAAAGCCCAAAAGTGAGTGATGGGCAGTCCCTTTTGGGCAGTCCCAGACTGGTTCCATTTTTCTCTGGCCCCAAAACACAGCCACAAGATAGTGGGGTCCTTGGAAGTGCCCAGTGCCCTCCGCCAAATGTGCTCCCGAAAGCTGGTAACAAAGATTGGTTGGGTCAGTTTACAGCTGTTCCTCCTCGTGGCCTCTCTAACCTCCCCCGAATTGCACCACTAGTGACAGTGCTTAGTTCTCAGGTTCTGGCAAGCACTGTCACAGCTGCCTAGGAAGGACTCATTCCCCATGTCTAAAGGAGTCCAGTGTCATATAATTTGGATGTGACCACTCCCCATCCTGCTAGGGCTTCAGTAAGCTAGGCACAGGCTAGGGGCTCCAGGGCATGTTCAGCCCTGGGGAAACAAGTTCTGCGTAGCCAAAATCCGCAAGTGGGGCAGGGTGGGGGATGGGGGAAGGAGGCTGCAGTTCTTGCAGAGCCCTGCGATGGGCACCTCTGCCCTCTGCCACCCATGCCCATGCTGCTTCTCCCTGCACAGCTGTCGGCAGGCCCTGCTACTTGACACGCCACAAGCACCCAACACTGCCCATCAGCCGGCCCCAACAGCAGGTCTTGGTCCTGGCAGAGACCCGGCGGAAACCATCCACCTTCTGGCACAGCATCAGCAGGCTGGCACCCTTCCGCAAATGAGTCCACGCCCCCCAGCTTTGCCTCCCCAGGCCTGTTCCATCTGGCCCTTCTCTGCCTGTTTTGCACACTGGAAGTGACCAGGGCTGAGCCTGGGGCCCCTAAAAGTGCCAGGTCTGTGCTCCATCCTGGGTTTCATCCTCGCTGCTGTGAAGGTGCAGTGAAGAGACTGGCTGGCAAGGGAAGCGGGGTCCCACCCACATGAGCAGCCCCTCCTGCTCCGCTCGCACTCTGGGGCTGGGAACTACGCTCAGACCATCAGCCAGGCTGCATGCAGAGGGCGATGGCCACTCTGGACCCCTTGGAAGCCTAACCAGCCCTTCACATCTCTGGACAGGGCAGGCCTCACTGTGGCCAGCAGCTCCCTGGAAAAATGTGTGCCCCTTTGCATTCCCCTTCTTTCAGGTCCCACTCAATGAGTGGGGCCTGGCTACCCCCAACCTCAGTGGGCAGAACCAGTTCTGTGCCTCAAATGTCTGGCTCAGAGCTGCCCTTCTGCCTCCCAGCCCCTCAAGATGCTGCTGGACACCTCTTCACTCATGATGTGGGTGTGTTGTGGGAACAACAAAGCCGAGTCAGCGAAAAGGGACCTCCATGTTTTGTGATCAGCCCACTGGCAGCTGAAGTGGCTGCAGAATCACTTGGTTTGTTTGGATTTTGTTGTATTGTTTTTCTAAAAATGGAGAAGAACTGTAACACAGAAAGCCTTATCCTAGTGAGTGTAAGAAGCCATAAGGACATAATTCTGTGGCCCAGGATCCAGAACTGACCCATGCAGCCCCAGTCCTGAGGGACACGGGGGTATGGCCCACACATGGGCATGGAGCCTGCGGGACTCGGCAGCATGGATGGTCGCTTGCACTATACCTTCACCAGGCCAGAAACCATATTAATTTCATAAAGAAACCTGTGAAAACTAACCTAGCTGCTAGTCCTTGTTCTCTGTTGTATGTGTGCGTTTCCTTCTGTGTACACACCTGCCTGTCTTTGCCTGCCACCTAGTGTCTCCCCTAGCCTTTCCTAAACAGGAAATAAACCTAGAGGAAAGGAATGGGGGAGAAGCAGGCCCAGGAGCTGGCCAGGTGTGGGGCACAGCCGATGCTGTTCTTCTCTGCCCTAGCCCCTAAGCCTGAAGGCTGCCCCTCCTCGCTGCTCTCAGGGCTTTTTGCTACAGCTGCCAAATGTAAGTTTTCTTCTTCTAGGACCTAGAGAAATGGCTGCCTGAACAGGCATGGTCTTTCCCAGGACAGCGCAGCCGCGAGGGACAGCAAAGCAGCCCAAGGCTCTTCCTTCTGTGTCCCACCTACACAAATAGTCCCTGCCCCATGTCTAGACCCCAAAGCCTCATAGCACCTCTGACACAGCCAAAGTTCCTGGAGCTGAACACTGCACCAGCTTATTTCCCCCAAAGCCCTGGCAATTTCCTGAACTGTGCGAAGCTACAGTATCTCCCAGTCAAACCAAAAATCTCTGGACAAAACCCACATGAGAAAAAAATCATGAAAACCAAAATATGCAACACAAGTCAATCTTTATTGAAAACTGCAGTATTAATACATGACAATCGTTACAATAAACGTGCCTTTAAGAATTTTAAATCTGAGCTCATCTACTCATCAGATTGCATAAAAAATTAAAAGTATGAATTGACATCTAATTAAACTGGCTCAGGATGGTGGTCTACTCCTTTATATGCTGTGGAAGTTCAATGCAGAGGCGAGGGGTGCCTTTAACACTGGAAGACAACACTGACTTAAGCTTAAAAAAGTACCAAGAGAACAGTGTAAAAAACAGTATTTAAAAA